AGGTACATGTTTCTGTAAAATGTGGTCTCTCATTCAGTTTCCAAAAACACAGCAAGTGAAATTATTTTTTGCTGATTTGGTTTAATTATATGGGAAGATACATTTTGAAAGACACAAAATAGGTGTGTCTGTCGTCACTTTGAATGGCTCAACATTCCTGGGTACCACATGAGTAGTTTCAGTGTTAATGGAAGGATTATTCCAAATATTCTGATCGAGGCAAGAAGAAAGCTGTAATAATACCCCTCAATTTTCCAAGTCGTTGTTTTTATAATACTGTAAGGAACCGGTTCTTCTGCAGGGACAGCAACATTACTCAGAGTTGATGCAGTTTGACTGAAGATTTAATGGCGACTGGCATTCTTTAATGCCAGTCGCCATTAAAGAATGGGAACACAACAGCTCTGTTCTAAAATGTTAAGTAGATATTCATTCATTCATTCATTCATTCATTCATTCATTTCAATCATAGTGATTTATTAAATTTACTTCTTTGAGTTGTACATCATGTCATAATGTTATTCCATCATGAAAAACACACCTTGAGTGTTGCTTTGATTCTTTCATGCACATGAGGAAAAGGCTTTAATCTCCATGGCAACCATTCAGTTGTGCAAAATGTCTGTATGAACCTAGCAACCCCTTCAAGGTACAGCTCCTCCTCTGAGCTGTTGCTTCCAAGTTTCTCCCACACAGATCACAGTGCCCTGAAAAAAATCCCCTCTCAGCTCCTTCAAACTAGGCGGCAGTAAATTAGCAAACACCTGGTGGAACTGTGCATATTAGACAAGCCACTTCTCGGTCAAAAATGTTTCAGAAACAGCAGAAGTTTTTAAAGAGACCCAATTTGAAGCCAAGCTTCTATTCAGTCATATTTGATGTATTTAGTAGCTCAAGGTAACATGGTTACTTGGTTGTGCAATAAAAAAGCGGGATGTGCCTGGAAAGTACATAATACTGCCCCTTTAACAAGTACAGTCTTTTGAAAGACTGCAGCAGCTGTTGTCCTGACGGCAGGAAGTAGAGCAAACCTTGAAAACATTCTCAACACAAAATCTACATATTTGAAAGCACAAAACATTTGTCATTGTGGAACAAATATGACAAAAGACGGAAAATTTGAGTGTGCTAAAGAATTTGTCTCTCCAGGGGTCTGTCTCTGTAAGCTGGAAACATCTTCCCACTGGGAATTCCCCCAATTCTAAAGACAGAACTGTTTCATCTCCTTCAAGCTGCATGGATTCCACTGGTGCACAGCAAATTCACAGTCATGCTACAGATTCTCAATCATCCTGAGTACTGTAATTTATTTTGGACATTGCTCAAGATGTACTACTAGGCCAAAAAAAAAAAAAAAAACTTTTTCTGCTCTAAATCAAACTTTTGCATTTGCAGTAGTGTTTGTGTCATGGTGAACTGTGTCTTTAGATATATCTTTTTTTAAGGCATGAAAGAGGTTTGCTTGTCATATCTGACAGTAGGGCACGTTCCATTATTTGTTTCATTGAGAATAGTTTTTACAGTGTGACTGCAGGTGTTTGTGTGACATTAGAAGCTTTTCAGATAGTCAGAGCATTGAATCAGGCTAATTTCAACCAATACCTTTCCAAAATGTCAATGCTAAAATTAAATTTGCTACAGAAAATAGTTAGTTTGTTTTATACATCTCAAAATGTCATAAACAAATTCTCATTCCCATATTTGAGTGAGTGCCATATTTGCTCTCACCAGTAGGACTGTTGATTTTTAGACCTCCAGTCTATTCTCTGGAGTGTTACCTTTATGTTGATATCGGAACCAATCAAATACAACTTGCACTTCTGAGATATATTGATTTTATTTTAAGGGTGTCAATTTCCTAAAAAATATCCACAATGTCAAAATGGGGTATTTGTGTGTAGAGATTAATTTAATACAATTTGCTCTAACATTACAAAATGTGAAAAACTTTATGGATGCCTTGTGCATTATTTCTTATTTAAACTGAGATGGCTAATGGTGCTTTGGGAATCTTGACAGTTTTTTTATTGTTCAGAGATTTGCTTAGATTCCCTTTCAGTTGCATTGAAACTAAAGACACACAAACGCCCAGAGGATCCAAATCTACTCTCCACTCTTCCACAGTGTTGGAAATCCCCCTCACCAATGCTCTTTCATCCTTGCCGTCTTGTTGAGGAATTAATTGGAAAAGTTTGGGATTAAAGAGAAATTTCACTCTGTGCTGAGGTTCCAGGTATCACTTACTGCCCCTCATTCTGTTCGACTGGGAGCCTGTCACCACAGCTGTTCATGTCCAGAGAGCAGCAGCCTTTAGGAGTGATAAACTACAACAGGCTGACAATGTGTCAGTGACCGTGGCGACAATGATTGGACACCAGAGCTCTCTCCCCTTTGACAAACCCTGATAAAAGAAAACTCTAATTAAATGCAATGGGCCAAAAGGACATTGTGACATGCGGTAGGCTCAGAGGATGTGGACAGTAGAGATAAGCCTTCAGTTGATTGACTGTTGCAGTCTGTTTGTTTCCGAACCCACTGTCGTCTGAACAATTTCTGTTCCAGCAGCTGTGTTGCTCTTTCAATTACAGAACAACAGCGGAAAGCATCCAGTACTGCTGACAAGCTGCGTGTTAGCGCTGCTGTGACAAAAGCTTGGAGTCAGCAATTAGCCACAACACTACCCTCACCACATCCCACATTCTCCACGCACTGCTTCCTGTTTAGCTAGATTTAGACTTGTAGTTAAAATTCCGATTAGCACTGAGTCTTCACACAATTTGGAATGTCTTGTTAAAGGCAAGAAGGTTTTGTTTAAGCTTTTAACGTAATGTGGAGATTCAGGGCAATGACGGAATAAATTTGTGGGATCATTTTTGAGATTATTTTGATTGTGCATCTTAAGTATCCAAGTAAGATGACCAATTTAAAAAATACATTAGGTGTTTGAATTCTGGGATTTGAATATCAAGCTGTGTTTCCATTACAAATGTGCTCAAACGTTTGTAGATATTTAACTAATTTAAAACAAACCCCACAATTTTGCAATTGTGGTGTCATTAAATAAGAGATCATTAAAATTACATGTGAGTTAGTTTGTTCAGGTTATAAGTCATTAAAAACATGCCTTGCTATCATCCTCCAATCACTTCCTGTCATCTTCTTAATTTTTTCTGCCAGTCGAAACATCATGTTGCTCATTGTGTGACTCACGTGAAAACAAGTGTTTCCATTGAAGTTTTGCAAAACACCCTAATTTAACTACACTTCATCCTTATGCAAAAACTTTTTATAACTTTGGGAACTTTTTTCTTTGGGAAATTGACATGTTTCCATTATGCAAATTTATTTTGGTAATTATAATTTGCAAAATTTTATGGCCATTGGAAACTCAGCTTCAGTCTTCTCGTTTGATATGGTTATACTGTAGGCTAACTTCAGTGGAAACATTTACCTACATATTTTATTGCAGCATTATAGCATTTTGCTGGCTACCATTTTGTTTAACCTGTTCATTTTATTTTACTTTTACTTTGTACAAACCAGACCTGAGAATATATACCCATTTTATTCATTCACCTATTGTTTCTACTTTCTCTTTCAACGGCACAGGAAGACAGGGATCTTTAGGGAAAAATATTCTCCATTCACATCAACCTCAGTCTAATTTGACTCCTGCTTATGCAGTTTGGTCAGGCATTTCAGACAGGCTGCTCAGATTTTCTTGTACATGTCAAAAAGTTCTGTGGTCCGCTCTTTACAACTCTGACATTTTATAGGCAACATTCATACACCAGGTATTGCAGTTTATTTCCAGTTTTTTGCTGATTTATTTATTTATTTAGTGCACAGTCCTTTACACCACTTCATAGCTCATGGAAATGACATCATGGAGAGTAATTTGTAAAAACAAAAAAAAAAATGTTAGAATTTTAATTTGTAATTTCATGCAAAGGTTTTGCTGATCAAAAGTTGCGGTTAGGTACTGCTATGGAAGTAAAATTTGACTGAGCAACGGGTCCAGGTGAGTAGAAAAATCTACTGGTTTAACAAAAGTTATTTGTAGATGCATCATTTTGTGAAGATGTACAAACAGGCTAATTCAATTCCTGATAATGAATTACCTGAGGAGAGTTCAGAGTTCAGGTTTAAAAGCGACAACGGCTGGCAAATCATTTCAGAAAAAAAAAAAAAAAAAAAAAACTTGTATTGCAGTGGTTTTAAGAATATATATACATTATTTTATGTTATTTAACATTTAATTAAACTGATTGAGAACAAATTCTCATTTAACACTCATTAAGTTAGTCCCTTTTTTAACAAATACAATTATGTTGCAAACAATACTTAGTAAGAAAGTTCTCGGATTGTAAAATGTTTCAAATGTGTGACATTGTAATCAATGTCACAACTTTAGTGGCAGACATGAAAGAATATTTGGACAAGCTTCTGAATCACTCACTTATGAATCACAACGCTACATTTCTTTATCAGTTATTCTTTGTATTTTTGTTTTTCATTTTGTTCCAAGTTAACTGAAAAACACAGATGACTGTCAGGGTCATCTGTGTTTTCCTGCAGAAGTGTCAGAATGTGTAAAATGCTCCTTTTGTGTGATGCTTCCCAAATTGGACAAATAAAACTTGAGAAGGAAGAACAGTGTGTCTCTGCTGACCTTTTCTTTATTGTATGTATTCTATGTACTAGTATGTACTAAAAGCCTCCTGTGTGACCTGTAGGCTCTGCAGTTTTGTTGTTTCTGCTGTCAGCAGTCAAAGTGAGGATTCTTAACAGTTTGTTGTGGCTAGAGATGGCAAAGAGACAAGCCTCTCTCCAAATCCAGTCTAAATAAATATTTGCATTACTAAGGTCTCACATTTTCACAATTCAGTGAAAAATTATAATCCAGCACAAATAACCGTTGCACATTATGGTTTCTTTCATGAAGCTGTTTTATTTTCCCCATCAAGTTGATTCTCCAGTGTTTTTTCTCACACTTCTAGAGACAGTTGCTGAGTTGCATCCGTGGAGGAAATTGTCCTGGGCCCAATGTGAGCTCCTTTCAGCTCCCTGGAGATGTGAGTTTCTTTGCCAACGAGCTGGCTGTTCCTACCGTGGAATTTGCCTTTGAGCAAACCAAAGCAGAGCGCTCAGAGGTACGTGTAACCTAAGGCATCTACTGTCTTCACGTTTCATTGACCAATTGGATTGTTTTCAGTTTGTGCTGCCATTTCTAGATTAATGGAAATGTTGTGTCTTACAGGAAGTGATGTGCAATGCTAACTGAGTTTGTTTCCAAAGTAAACACTGTTTGAATTGGAATTCTGAAAATAAATTTGTTCAGTGGAAAAGTGCCAAATTAAACATTTCTCATACTTTTGATAAGCTTTTGTGCTTGGATGATGTGGTTATTGATACAAAACACTTTTTTCACATCACACCAGTTTGTAAACAGAAGCAACACTCTTATTTGTACACACTGTGAACAAATAAGGAGGTCCACCAGCGAGCGCCCTCACAGCTTTGCTCACTTCATCAAATATTGACTTTATCATGCGAAAGTGTTGAATCCATAACTCTTCTGTAAAATTACAAACTACAATTTCCTCAAAATGTTGCATAGTTAGCTGCTCACAAGTAGGCGGGGCTTGTTGATCCATTGCCTGAATAAAACGCAAACGTCTCCTCTGATTGGCTGATAGATGATGAGATCTGGCTCCATGACTGAATTGTGAAAATATCTCTCTTGTTTATATTCATCATACTATGATTTTTAATGACTCGTCACATAAACAAGCATAACATATTGGGATTTTAAACGTGTTTCGCATTTGCAAAGTTGTGTTGTTGTTTTTTTTTCAACATTGGCAGAATGCTGAGTTTTGTACACATTTCTAATGTTTCAGAGAGGATGACTTCACTAAGTTTGACTGTTGCAATCATATCAATCCAATATGACATTTTCTGATACTGCAGTTTCACTGAAAATAAAAATTGTTTGTCAGTGCATGTTCATGACCAAGTAAATGGCTGCAAAGGCTAACTTTGCTAACTTTGCAGCCAAAGCAATGCACCTAAGAGCATTTCTCTCTTAGGTGCCATTGCACCTAAGAGAGCAATGGCACTCTTTAGGTGCCATTGTGATTAGCAATGGAACCAATGGAACCAGTCTGACAAAAGCTTTGTCAGTGCATGTGCATGGTCAATTGAGTAGTTTTCAAGAAAAAAAGTATGTTTAACTTCAGAGTAGCAGCAAATGACAGACATGTTGAGAGTGCAACTAACTTCTTGAGGATTGAATGTGACAACCACCATCTGCAGCTTGTAAAACTAATAGTGCTCTTTTAAATCTTAAAATAATTTACAAACCCAGTTTGACACAGTGCAATTTGGATCTTGTCTCTGCGAGCAACAAATAAGCATCTTAGACAGCAGAAATAATTCATGACCCTATTTGCTTCTATTAGAGATGGAATATGGATGTTTGTTGCACTACCTGGGGCTAGAAAAATTGAGATTTTTTTTTATTCCCCCCCCCCCCCACAGAAATGTCAACCCACTCAAATGTGGAATTCCTGGTTCAACTGGCAACTATGAACTTAATTAATGTAAGAGATCTTCATGATGTTTATCTGCCTGTAAGGCTTCCTAACAGCATTAAAACGAAAAGCAGCTAGGATAAAGTCCAGGCATATTAAATAGCCCAAATTAATAGACTGATACATAAACATGTTCTGTTAAAAAACTTCCTGCAGGCAAAGATTACCATAAACTCAGGAAGTCATTGACATCGTTAAAAATTGGAAGAATCCAATTTCCCTCATATCTGAATTTGTAGGAATTATCAGTGAAGAAGCTGCAGGGGAAATTCAAGGGTTTTTTATCTTGACTGTTTACCTTCTGACAATGTTTTGGTAAAAGTATTGATTTCTCCATTTTTGCATTTTGGGCTTGCGGGACCGCCATCACAGTGAAACAGTTTTCATGTTGTATTTTATCTTGCTTTTCCAGCTCACATAAAACCCTAAGAGAAAAACAGCTCAGGTTTGACTTGGCTAAAAGAAACGGCAGAGCAGTCCGACATGTTGTGATGCTTTATGCTTTATTTACAATTAATTAGTAAGACTTAATCATAAGAATTACATTTAAATTGTATTTTGAATGTATTCCAAATTTATAAGCGTTGTACTTTTGCAAAATGAGGTATTTAGTATTTTGGAGATATGTAAAACTGATGATACTTCTACATTTTATGTTAAAGACCAGTTAAGTCTTGCTGTAGGACCTCTGCCACTAAAATGAATTTGATGCTCTCACCCATGGACACAATTATTTATTACTTTGTCAAACGATTTTGAAAGAGATTGAAGATGAAAAAATGTAACATTACATCTGTAATGTTACATCTGTAAAATGTAACATTACAGTAATTTTATTGTGGCTTTTGTTTTATTGATTTACAAAATCTATTTGAAAATAATGCATAAAGCACAACTCCAGAAAGGTATATATATATATATATATATATATATATATATATATATATATATATATATATATATATATATATATATATATATATAAAACATATTTTGAAAATGTTAAGTTAATATATACATTTGTACAAACACAGCACAATTTAACTATATATTTAATCATGATTTAAAGTATACTTCAGAAAAATATATTTTGATGAAGTCTACAAAAATCTATTTAAAAGAGTATTAGAAACATTAAGATGAAATTACAAATGTAAAATTCATAAATCTTTAATAATATAGGTACAGCTACTTGATAACATTAAAAATGTATTTCAGAAAAATGCAGCCTATTTAAAATATACCAAGGCATATTACACAGTCACAAGGGTAATCCTTGTTATTTTATTCCTTGGTATTTTTGCTATGTCCAGATTGTGTTATAGCTATTGCCCGTTCTGTAATTTGTTTCACATTATGTGTCTTAAATTTCCCTTAGAGGAATAATAAAGTTTACATTGAACCTTGCATATTGAAACCACAGAGATGACTGTACTCAACATCTGACCACAATGTGTGTAGAAAGTAAAGCACATTGATGTGACTTTAACCATATGAGTGTCTTTTAGGGCTCTTTGTTCCATGGTGATAATACAGATTACATTATATAATCTGCCGCATCTGTAATTGCATCCATTCATTCTCATATGCTGAGCAAACAAAGAATTTGAGTCTGTAATGTGTTGTGAGAGCGCCAGATGTTGTGTACAGTAGCAGCTCTGTAGTGTTCAGAAATGAAATATGGTTCACTGAACAGTATTTGTTCTATATTTAACATCTGTTTCTCTCATTTCGTCAAAGTGCTCTCCTTCGTGATGTGATTATGCACCTCGAGCAACTAAAGTTTGTTGCACAAAGTTGTTGGTTGAGCCATCGTGAAAAAATACTATTATGGCTTATCGGTACCCTATAGGATCAGTTTGTTAAATTCAATTCAATTGTGCACAAAAACATCCTCTTCTAAAAATGACTGTGAAGTACTGGCATTATGAGGCCACTATAATGCGTCATAATGCAACTATTCCTTCCTTTTTGGGAAGGAATAATTGCATTTTTCTCGTGCAAATTCTCAAAAATGTCCTTCAGTCTGTGTGTTCTCACCTCTGCGTGCAGAAATCTGGAAGTAAAATTCTCTCCCGTCGGTGCAACGTGGGTGTCATTTCTGACATGTGTCATCAGGCAGATGCATTGGCTTTGGGGCTCTGGAGGGAAAAACTCAGGCAGGGCACTGAGGTGTGAGAAGAATATCTGACAAGAGCTCATCTTTGCAGCGACATGTTTTAGGGCAACTTTCAGGTTCAGGTTGGGATAGTGAAATATTAAGTCAGTGGGATCTTGAGCTTGACTTTGGCAAGTATTGTGTTTATACCACAGGCTATTCCTGCTGCGCTCTACAGATAGAGACAGCTGCAGTCCTCCAGACAGGTAGGGACGAAGGTGGCAGCATTCTTTTGGCCTCGTACCTTTTGTATCTTTGAAGAACCCACACCAGAAAAAGTTGTAGTTCTGTTACTAGGCTCAGTGACAACAGGTGAAACACAAAAGCTGTGAATCTAACTTTGTGTTGTGATGCTAATCAAAGAGGAAGTGTCTGTGCTAGCTGCTGGGGACAGGTGATTCTAGAAGCAGTGCTATGGTGTTCAGTCCGAGCTAGCAGCCTGGAGACAGCAGCAGGTCATTTCTACTACACGCTTTTACAACCGTAATGTTTGATCACTACTAAAATATCAACTCTTATGCAAAAACTACACCAGTATTTATATACAATAAAACAAATTCGCTAATAACAAGATAAGGACATTGTTGCAACTTGTTTTCTGTTGTTTAGCAGCTGTTCTATAACATAAACAGTGGAAGTTGTCTCATCAAAATAAAGGCATCAAATCAAAAACCGGAAGTTTACCATTTATCATACAAAATAAAATGAAATAAAACCAATAAGCGCTAAAAAGGGGATAGAACAAATAAGAAACTTTATTTGCGGTTATCTACAATTTTATTTTTTCCTTCAGGAGATTTGAAGGACCTGCTTGTTTTTCACAATGATCTCTGGGAGTTTCTAAGCAGCCATTCGTTTGTTATGAGAACCCAGGATAAGGAGTGCATATTGACCAGGTAAAGCAACGTAACAAGTTGCTCATTCAGCTGTTGAACTGTAGTCATAGAAACAGGGTCGTGAGGCAACAAATGACCAACATATAGCAAAAGATAAAAAATCTATGCAAGTTAATTCACAAAGGCATTACATCATCACTTCATTTTGCTTTACATGTTATCTACACAAACATGTACTTTACTCTAGGGACAGACTTTTGTCTCTGTTAAAGCTGAATAGGAAACCCTTTGGCAGGTTTTACTAATACTTATTCCCAAATTCCCAAAAGAGTTCAACATTGAAGGATAAAAATGAAGGATAAGAAAGTGCAAATTCCTTCCAATCCTCCTCTTAAACAATTAAAGAATCCCCCATAATATGCTTTATTCATTTTTAGAGCACATATTCACTTTGATTTTGTACTGTTGTGTGAGTGAAGTTCAGAATGTGGTCGTAATTTTCCTTAATAATTAACACTTCATCTAGTTTCATCTATCAACTATAAAACTGCATATCTGTAAGA